CCTGCAAACAGACAACGTCACATGGACGTGCAGATCACGTCTACATGGAGTCTGTCGGTCCAGACCAGGTCTGTAGGATGTCCAAACTAGGTCTTTGCCCCATTGACTGAGTATGTGAGTATGCCTCATGCTCATTGTCCAATAGCATGCAGAGACGGTTTAAAATATAACCATAGGTTCCGCCTCATGATTGATATCTGTCTATGGGTCGTAGCCAGACTATATACATATAGACTACATTTAGCCTTCTTCTAGTTTATCTGGTGAACAACAAATGTTTTATTCTTCAACCTTGAATTTTGCTGATCCTAGGGGACAGGGAATCAGAAAACAACTTTTTACTTATTTACCCCTAAAAACACCTTAAAATATACCTCCTCTCTTTTGTGTTCTTTACTCTCATTGACATTAACTCCACAACATTATATATATATATATATATATATATATATGTTTCATTAATTTGAAAAAAACCTTCCACTTCGATGCGAAGGACTCAGTGTTCCATAAAACCCTTTTCATGTCTCATTGAATCTATTATTTGCCTACTTCTTTGTTTTGAGGAAAAATAAGGTTTTAATCTTTACTGATTTTTTTGTGACGACGTATAAAATGACCCAGGAAAATAGGGCTAAAGAGACAAGCTTTGACCAGATTTGCAAATGTGAGATGTCAGGGTTACATGGTGTTCTCTAAAGCCTACCAAGACACAAGGATGCGCCTGACTTTGCTGGCTCCTTCTAATTATGTGCATCCACAGTCTGTGGTGTGATGCATTCTGGGAGGACAGAGAGTTTATTATCGCTCCGTAACGAGGAAGCTGGAGAACTGACAGACGCATTAAAGAGAGAGGCGAAAAGAAGTTTGCACAGACTTTGAAAGCATTAGTTGTTAAATAAAACATGGATGGTGTGGGCACCTTTTGCAGCCCCCGCAGTGGCTTCTGTCTGATTATTCTTGTCATAACCAGGTAGGTGTGAGAAGGAGAAAAAGCTGCATTACTGTTGCCTCACTCTAGAATCTCTATGAAGCAGCGTATAAAGAAAATACTAATAACGTATGTGCAGAAGAGTCCCCACTTGACTCCATCCTTCCCTCCCCGTCGGCTCCATCCTCCTCACTTCCTCCGATTCCCCCATTAATTCACACTGGTGCCAAAATTAGCAGATGACTAGCTAACTAAACTTCACATTTTAGCCAAGAGGGACACGGGTGACATGCTTGTGTTCAAATCAATTTGAATTTAAAACAAAGGACTGTGGAAATGTATGCAGTAACTGGTGAAAATTGAACTAAAACTCCAAAAGATTCAGTCTTCAGAAAAAAAAAGCCTAAGAAACCGTAGCGAAGAGAATCATAAATGAATGGATGTGCTTAATAAGAGCCAAGCTTTGCTAAATGAAAATTTGAAGCAGCATAGCTCTCTGTCAGACATCTTGTGCAAAATGTTTTTCCCCTATTAACAGCAACATTTCCAGTATTGATCAGGAGAGGTTCAAGTTGAGTTCAGAGAAAGAAACACCTCATCAAGCGGTGTGTCAAATCTGGGGCGGACTTAAATTACTAACATTGTGCTCCGAGATGGTGAAAGAGAGGACTTTTGAACCAATCTCAGTTTTCATGTACGAATCTGATAAAATAACATCTCCGAACGAGCAAATACATATGTATATTTGGTAATCTTGACTAATTAATTAATCTTTTTGTAATTTAATGTTGCATTTAACAATATTCAATTCAATTTTATTTAAATAGCGCCAAATCACGACAAGAGTCGTCTCAAGGCACTTCACATAATAAACATTCCAATTCAGGTCAGCTCATTAAGCCAATCAGAAATAATGTTTCCTGTATAAGGAACCCAGCAAATTGCATCAAGTCACTGACTAGTCTCAGTGACTATACATATAACTACCCCTGGAAGAAAAATAAGAGGGCCAACGTAAAACAGACCAGCCAAGATGAAACCTAACCATTTTAAATGTCAAGGACAGATTCATTGATGTAGCCTAAAGCGCCCCTCGTGATGGAGGCCTCACGTTTAATGAGAAGATAGTTTTCACACACACACACACACGCACGCACGCACGCACGCACGCGCACACACACACACACACACACACACACACGCAATGCTGCACAAGTTTAGGGGGTGTACGCATGAGAAGGTAAGATCTGACACCATGAATAATGCACCGTGTTTGCAGTTGCATCTGAAGGAGCTGAGATATCAGATTCCCACGATGCTCAACTCCAGGACAACTGTCGGCTGGAGCAAAGGAAAAGCTGAGTATGATATTCACAAAGAAATCCTGATTATAAGGAGGCTAAAAACAATAGTTCCCAATCCCCTGACGGGCGGCTCCGTCCTCAGTGTATGTGTAGGCACATTTGATTGTTTCCTTTTTCTTAAATTACAATTTGAAAGGAAGCTAATAAATTATAGTGCCGTTGTTGAGCTGAGAGTCCCTGACCGGGGAGATGGTGGCATTTTGCCAAGGAAGCCGCACTCCTTCATGCCAACACACTTAAACCTCATTAGAATGGCTTTACAAGATTCTCCCACTACAAACCCCGTTTTAGGCCAATTAAACTGATTTGTGAAATCAAACATTGGACATAAAAAGGAGCAAATATTAATAGGGTGACAGCCATTTTATCACATTTTATATCTGCTGCCAGCACTTCCAAAAATGAATTTGCAACGATAAAACTACAGAACTATAAATAATTAAAATAAAAGCCTATCTAGCCTCGAAAGGCAGCTTTAATGTCAAAAAACAAACAGGGCTGCAACAAAAGCTGAATGATCGTACAAGACCAGGCATTAGGAGCCTGAAACAAGGTGGAAATAAACAAATCACTCACAAAAGGAGGTCTGGCTTGTTATAGTGGGACAAAGAAAGAAAACATTCATTTCAGTGATTAAGACACACATTTAAAAGGAAAATAAAATCTTGTTTTCTTTAAAGACTCAGTTCACTTGGTTTTTTCAATACATTAGCAGAAGTCTAGTACGAATTGTTTTCTTGTGAGTCGATCTCTGGAAAACAGCTCTGGCGCTCTTGTTTCAAGAACTAAAAGTTAGCCAGAGGAGTAGGGAGCAGAAGACGGCAGGATATTATTTCCTGATATTTGGGCATCTCGGCTCTGATTGATAACACAAATCTGAAGGAGTTCTGCTGTGTTGTGCAGTTACTAATGCTAATGGCTAGCTTCAACTTGCCAAGACGTTCTCTGCTGTTTCCTGGATGGTAAATCCCAAACAGCCTTCCCCGTTGCAAGTCAAGATGGGTGAGTTCGTGAATGCTAATTTTCAGTGTGATGAAGATGTGGCTGGATTTTCTAATCGGAGCAGTTCCTCTTCGATTTTTTTCCCCAGCAGCTCAGACAGGAAAAGGGGTTAGAAGACTTGCTCTTAGCCAGCATGTTAAACTCAAAGTGACCAATCAGATCTAATAAATATATTTTTTTAATTTTGTCAGTGAACTTGGTCTTTAAACAAAACTTCTTCAGTGCTTTTTAAAAGTTTACTACAAAGGTGCGACTTATCTGTAGAGAGGTTTTAGATTTTTATTTGGTCCTCCAGTTTCTCTCTTAAAATATGTTATGACACAAGGAATAAATTAAAAATGAAAAGAGACATACAACAAAAGTAATTTTTTACTACAATGAATTTTTGTTAGTGTAATTATTGTATCATGTTAGGCCAACCATAAGTTAAGCTATTTAATTTTCAACTTCCTATAGGGGGCATAAGTCACGCCCATCTACTTCCGGACCATGGGTTCCCGGAAGAACGAAAAAAAAAAAAAAGCAAGTCAATAGGGCCAAAAATGCTATTTTCTAATTCCGTTTGTGATACACCCTGGATCAAAGACATGCTTTGATGCCAAGAACACGCTTATTTTGAAACGTTATTTTAGGGTCTGTGTGAAAATATGTCCAGGATTACAAATGCAAATCACCAAAATGACGGCAACGAACCAGGAAAACAGAGGAAAAATGGCTGGAAGTTCAGCAAACTTCAAATCCTTCCATCAGAAGGAAAGAACCAACATAAATCTGGCCATGTGGTAAGTAGCAGCTACGCTAGGGGAGAGGAGATTCTGTGGTGACGTCATTTGCAATGTGCCAACGTCTCATTTGTAGTCATGCTAAATGACAAAGTTTTACATGCTGATAAATCTCAAAGTATGTGACTGGTGTGGTCAGAACACCCATACTTAGTTTCTGTTAAATTAAAGTTTTAATTTTTGTTTCATTTATGTGGTTTTTGGCAATTTTATCTTTTCTGCTTTAAACACACATTACCGTAAACAGTGTGACATTTTACAAATGGGACAAAACAACTATGAGAAGTCTGAAAACGAAGGGGAGTTGAAGTATGCTGATTTTTTTCCTCACAGTACTATATTTGGTACCACAATGACAGCTTTTGTTTCTACTTAGGTGATGCTAAAAAAATAAAAATTTCCAATAAATTCCAATAAAAGTCTACGCCTGATCATAAAACACTATAAGAAAATAAGTTATTTTGAGATGATGAAAGAGAAGTAATTTGAAAATGATCATCTAAACTTTTATTTGTGAATCATTTCCTTTTCTGTGTTATTTCTGGATTCATCGCATCACCACCCACAACTTCTTCTGATGCTGTCAGCTGTGACCAACTCCTTAGAAAAAAAAATGCCCACTTTCTGCATTTTGCTTTGCAGGACAATAGTATCCGTCAACAGCACCCTCAACAGTCAATTCACATTCATGCTGACATTTTTGAGTAGGCTTAATTTTACCACTTCTTCAGTGTGAATGTCCAACAACCTCCAAAACACGCTGGAATTAGCATACACAATGGGATGGTGATACAGCACGGGTTAGGAGAAAAGTGGTCAACAGCTCTGGATAAGTAATTGTAGTGTGCTCCAAAGCTAGGACTCGCTGACATTCAACAAAACAACCTTTGATGAGTCAAAAGTGTCACGAGGGAAATTATTTACCATCACTGAGTTGCAGCGGCCGTTGAAGGGCGTGGGCTCGGTGAAGAACTCTGTGTTGTGGTCGAGCCGTCCGTGTCCTCCGTACAGAACCTCATCTGAATCCAGCTTGATTTTATATCTGACAAGGACTGAGGTTAAGGTGCAAAGAGCCCGAGGAATAAGCTTTAAAGATCAAATGCAATAAAACCAAACTGAAACAGAAGAGAAGGTTTAAAACTAGTTTATTTGGCTAAGCAGCGTTCAAGGAATGTATACTCACTGAAATACCCCCATTCATCACCCCCCTAAAGCAGTAAAAACTAAAATATGGCAGTTCAGAACATGTCATGGTTGCCTTGAAAGCGTGGAAGTATGTTTTTCTGGAGCATTTGACATTAATTGAAATGTTCTTCACATTCTGATGACAAATAAATGTTTGGTCAACATACTGAATAATTGAAATTGCCTTTGAAAGGTACAATCCTGGAAAAAACCCCATCCGATCACCGTGAACGTCCATTTCTTAATAACTGCACTCTGATCCGTCCCTCCCCCTCTACACATTCGTAATCAGCTTGAAGCAGCTGAACAGGAAGTAAAGCCAGAGCTGGGCTAGCTTTATAAGGTACATACTTCATTTTTAAATGGTTATGTAGCATGAAGCCAAAGTAGCAGAGGGGCTTTACTGTGTTATAAGCCCAGTGCTCCCTGCTAGGTCTCCAATCTAGGTCCTAGTGGTTTCTTTCTCTCAAAAATTTGGCGCCTTGACATCTGGGCCAGCATGAACCAGACTGGGTGGCATCAGTTCGGGTCCTGCACAGGTAGGTTTTGTTCACACACACTTCTCAGGAACGAGGAAATCTCTGAGCACGTGGGCGGGGCAAAGTTTGTGGCGTCTCACTTAAACGACAGCCGTGCAGCTCAAGGCACAGCAGCGCAGTCTCTGTGTGTGTGTGTGTGTGTGTGTGTGTGCGCTCCTCACAGCAGTGTTGGCGAGACAGCTTTAGTCAGAGGCAACGGTAACTTCTCAGTATCCAGAAGATAATGGATCACACATACGGGAAGCTCACGCTGCTTGATTCCATCAGCCAATCAGAGGCTCCCTCTCACGGTAGGCACTTATGTGTGCCAAAAACTGCGCAAAATTAAGACTAGTAATGTTTTTACGGTTGTGTGACAGTATCTGTTCATTCTCCGATATTGTGGGGGGGTGGCTTAGGGGAGGAGTCTGAAAAAAGAGGGTTGGGTTAGGGTTCCTATCACTTGCTTTAAAGGCTTTGTCCAGGAATCCCAACCCTTCCTTTATATGACCAAAACTTAGAGAGAGTGTCTATAACCTTTGATAGGAATCTGTATAAAACATAAGTACCAGTGCCATAAATTCTCAAAAATTGCTTAAAATTCTTAAAAAGCAAGTCACCCCCTACCAGCGTCTTACTCCGCTCCCCCTTCCTGTTTGAAAAATGCAAAAAATGCTGTTGCTTAGCAGACCGAGAGGGCGGAGCCGCTAAAAAATACACACACACAGGCTCACAATGACATTGCAACATCATATGGTACCAGCTAACGTCCTACGGTACCTTTTAGCCAATAGCGATGGCAGATTTTAATTCAAATGCAGTGCAGAGTTTTTACCTGACAACGGAACAACACTGACAGTTTCAGGCAGAAAATTTAAATGTGAACTAAAATGCACTAAAGTACTAAACTATTGACTACACGTGTCTGCAGCACGATTAGACACGCATTTATATAATTTATCAGAAAAAAAGTTGATTTGGGGGTGACTTACTCTTTAACGTTTTTAACTCTAGGAAGATTCATTTTGCTCAATTTCCATAACCCCCCCCCCCCCCCCCCCCAAAAACCACATATGTCTCATTTGTTTACCATGACTGTCCACATCTACGTTTTGGACTTGTTAGCAAGTTACATTTTTGCAGATATATGGTAAATTTCCCAACTTCAAAGCACCGCTGCACCTGAAGGCATCCATCTGCTGAGGCCTGAAGTCAAGTACGGTATCATTATTTACATCAAAAACACCAAAATCTACACTATTTATCCCAAACAAACTGCATTTTCTTTCTTTACACACCAGCTGTAATGTTGGTCTGTGTAATGCAAAAGATGATTACCTTTTGTTTGACACTGAATCATTCTCAAAAAAGAAAAATGAGAAATCAGATAAAATTTTAAATGATAAAACAACTAGAGGTTTGTGAGCTGCAACAGCGTTGTGTCAGTCGAATATGTAAATGCCTCTGGTCATGTAGATGAATATACGGTGTGTGTGGACGGGGGAGTAACGCTATCCCCAGTGCTGTCACTTATTCCTGATTTTTTTGTATTTTCTTGCACAATCTCTCTTCTGTGCATCTGAATAAGGATGCGCAGATCCTGAAGAGCTGATGGCAGCTTCCATAATGTGGTTCTCATGAACTGCGTGCTTTCTGACAAAGAAACCATGATAGAAAGACACAGCATGAAATATGTAAATCACGCCATATGCTGTAGAGAAGGCTTCAGGATATACCCACCTTTTTTTTTCTAAAGGAAGCCCAAAAGCATGAACATAAAATAGGTGAGATAAACAATTCTGTCTTTCAGCTGGAAGAAATGGAGAAAACCAGATATGCTAGAAGACATAAATCAGACCATTAAAAAGGAAACTCAAACTGCTTAATATTACCATGGTGTCCGTTTATAATAAAAAGTTTAGTATTATTGTCGCTAAAGTATTTGGGACACTCTTTAAAAACTTTTTAAAACTTCGACAAGAATGTCGAAATGTTTTCTCTGGAAACTTCCTAACAGCAAAAACAATAGTTCTGCTCCACCCACTTGGAAATAATTGGAAGTCATCTTCTTGTCTAACAATATACAGCACAGTGTAAAAAATAAAAAAATCCACAAACATCTGTGCTGTGCATTATTTAATCAGGTCTATAAGGAATAGTGCGGTAACAAAAAGCAGGAGAAAGGGGGCAGACGTTCAAACAATGCTCTAATTGCTTGTGTGAATAATCATGGTCTCCCCATAGATGTTGCTCTGTCGTCCGAGAGTGATCCTCCAACATTTCCTCATTTTGCCCCGGAGCTGAAGAAAATTGTACTTTGGCTGGGTGCTCGTCGTCTGCTTTGATTGTGATGATTAAAAAGAAGTTCTAGCATGCATGTGCAACATACGTGGCTGCTGAAAACGAGGCTTCCCTCCCCCACACGTCCTCTCCTGAGCTTCCCACTGTAGGGATTTATTGACAGTGAGAATGTCATTGTGCTGTGGATGACAGAAAATACTCACGATACAAGGATGGTCAACTAAATGTCTGAGGAAACTATATCTTAATTAAAATGATGAAGTAAAATCCATTTATCATAGTTTCAGAAAGGTTAAGTCCAGAAAAATAAAAAAATAAAAATTAGTCTAGGATGTGCTGGAGATCTTGTTCATTATGAAGTGTAAAACTTCTAAAATATTACTATTTTAATCAAATACCTTCATGAATGAACTGGGTGAAAACAAGGGTCTTTAAAATCCTTCAGGACTGATAAGATAGAGGCTAGTCAAACTAGTCAAGACAGAAGTACATTAAAATAATTAATACAAATACAAGCCATTTATCTATTACATTTACCTAAACAAACAACTGGAGCGACCCAGAAGTTATTTTTTTCACAGCATCTTTTTTTCCACTCTAATATCAGGTAAATAAGGCTAGAGGCTAACATACGCTAAGATTGCTAACGGTGAATTAGAAGCAAATAGTTGGCTGTAAAATAATGTAAATTACCATCTCATTATTTAATTTCACATTACAGTGAAATGTTTTTATGCATTTATCAACTTACTGTGTATGGCTCGTCTTCGCCGGTCATCTAGAATCTTCTGACACTAATCCATTACGGGAAACTGTTATCAATAGCGAGGGAAGGGGTCTCTTGTTTTTTCGGAAACATGGACTGCAGTAACAAAAAATATATATATACATTAACCTCCTGCCTGGCTCCGCCTGACACATTCTGGAAGTGAAGCGCATAAGGAAATAGCCCTGAAGAGTAAATTTAGCACCGCGAAGCAACGCTATGCCTTCGGAATGCGCCCAAGACATGTCGCTTTGCAGCTGGTAGAAAACACATCGAATGTAATGCAGCTAATTGCTGCATATTACTCTTTGCGGACGTTGCGCAATGCTTATACATCCAATGAAAATGCGGGTTTGCAGTGTTGTTAACCTTTCATGGTTATTCTGACATGGTTATTTTTCCCTTTCCGGTGCCACTTAGATTAATAACCAGCCACTTGATTGTTGACACACAATGTTTGCACGTACTGCTATGCAGGAATACACTTTGATTGTTTTGGACTAGCCGTTAGCTCATCAGTCCGGTAGAATATTAATGTTGTTTCTCTAAACTGAGGCCATTCAAGCCATCTACAATTAGTGGTATATTAATTACGAAGTTTTCACAGAAAGTCCTGTAGTCTTCATTGGACCAATGGCACCAAAGAATGTAGCACCAAATATTTCGTGTAAGTTGTTATGGACCTGTATTGTTTATCCCGCACCGACACATTAGACAGATCCAGAGACGAGGAGTTCAACATCCTGAACTCTCCGTTTTGTTCCCAGAGCTACTGCCAAACATGTTTTCTTCCTGCTGAACGAGTTCAGAGCCATCAGGGAATTCCTTAGCCATGAAGTGTTGTTTGGTCTGCCACTATCAGAGCTGGAACCTTTTAAAGGAACGTCCACAGGTGTCCTAGTGGATCACTGACCTGACTATCACTCTACATTCACACCTTTCCTTGTGGACTTTGATAAGATTTTACCATCTTATTTTCTGTAGATAATCTCAGGTGATGTGAAAGAAAACATGAACTTTTCAAGTCCTCTGAGAAGAGAACTGGAGTCAGAGCTTCAGAGGGGGCATACGAGCCTACGCAGCCTCAAACACAACAAACCACCACACTATACCAGCCTTTCTTTTACAACAAGCATTAATCTTTTAAGGTATCTGTAGCATAGCAGCGCATCCATAACAGACAAGGGATTTGCTCTCAACAGGCGCCGGTATCCATGACCTTTATTACAGGATCACCGATTCCTTGTAGGCACTAACCACAGCATGAGGGAA